ACAATCTATGCTGGTCTCGGAGCTGTGGCTTTTTCGATAGTAAGTTTTAATGTATAAGAAATCAAACGAAATTATTTTCTCTTGTTAGTTTTTGGCTGTTGATACACAATTAATTATGGGTGGAAAACGACATGAAATAAGTGCTGAAGATCACATTTTTGCATCACTTATGCTTTATATTGATGTTGTTTATATATTTTTATATATTCTTACTTTATTCGGCAATCGAGAATAAAACTATGATCTAACGACGGTGTTTCAACATTTATTATATTAATTATCTTGCATGCTTTTCTGTTATATCTTCGTTCTCTATATATTTTTTTGTTTCTTTTATTCTCCTATTGAACGTTCAACTTTTACTTCCATAAGATTTCAAATATGAACATATAGATATATACTTAATCATGCCTTTAAAGAAAAACGAATTTATATTTGTGTCTTTGTCGCGTGATCATTGTTTGGAAAACAAAAATAAACAAGAAAAAAACGTTTATTGGAAGCTCAATTACAGTGCGATTCAATTGAATTTTCCCTCTGTCATTTTTGCCTAAAACTGTTGCAGATTGCTTTTTTTTTTCGATAATCAATGTATCATGAGAAGAAAGGGGCTACATCTTTTCAGTAGGATGTACAGAAGTGGAAAATCAAAAATTTGTTTCTCCTTTATTTTTCTATGTACGAACACATTTAACTTCAATTAAATTGAACTTTTGAGTAGCCAGACAATAATTGAAATTATATGCGTTTATACGTAGAAAACTAAAGGAGAAACAAGAATACAATTTCCTATTTCTGTATATTCTAATAAAGATTCAGTCTCTTTTTTTTCTTCTGTAGTCTTTGTTGTCTAGGCTTGAGGGTGCTAGGTGTGGACGAGAAGTGAGGATAAAGCTTGCACTCAACAAGCTTTTGTAACATTTCTAGGGAACTCATTATTTGTATCAAATAACAATAAATATGAACTAAAGCTCAACAGTTAGTTTATCATGATGATATCCAAATACAAACTCCAGTTTTATGGTCTTGCTATTAAAGAAACGTTGGGCTTTTGAATAGTAATGCGAACATAAAGAAAAAACAAAGATATGAATATGAATTTTTATAATTTTGATACTTGTAATGGGAATATCATTAGTAGAACAAATTTAATCATACTTAACGACGATGCAAAAGAAAAAAGAGCATAAGCAATGCAACAACAGTACCACCAGCTGAAAGAGGAAGATCGACACAAAAAATCATGCTGGATAGACAATATATCTGGCTGAACACCCAACCCCGGGTAAACTAAAAATTAATAAAAAGTATTTTCATTATTTCGTTTTTCTATTAGAACATACGGAAAACTAATAAAAGCAGTGACCATCAACAATGATCAATGTTCTATGGAATGAGCAAGTCTTGTTGGTGCAACAGCAAATGAAACACGTAGGATTTGATTCGAGCAAGATGTCCATAGATAAAATTACATCGAGTAGCAAGGATTATAAATGATAATGAAAAATGATAAAGAGATCATTCATAGATATTATTAAAGAATAAAGACCACACGTTATATTAGCTAGTCACAATTCATTTGGTCTACTTGGAACGATTTTTTTGAACAAATTCAATGACTTTTTTAAAACTAAACATTAACTCCCATGCTTGTTTTTCATGCTACTTCCCCAACCAAGTGCAGTTTATAGATACTTTTAAGCAGGCAAACGCGTCTCAATGCATTAAAGGGTGTGGGAGTGTGGGTGTGGACATGAGAGCATTCTTCCTTAACACATATCACCACCCACAACCTTTTATTTTTGTGGAAGAGTAACTGAAAACGAAATAATTATGCCCTTCCGATTAAACAAAAATTTTATTCTAAAATTTTATGCCATAAAATTTCTATTATTTCAATAATTCGAGTTCGAATTTAAATAAGCATATTTGGTTGTGAGGGTGTATGTCATAGAATAGAAGCCTCATAATAAGACCAACACTCACAGATTATACCAAGGGAGAAACAGCGGACTTCAAGTAGGCAAAGTACGTCAAAGTACAAAAGTAGTTCAAAGTACTTGAAAGTACTTCGAAGTAGCTCGAAGTTTCGAGAAAGTACTTTAAATTACCCTAAAGTATCTATAAAGTACTTGAAATTACATCAAAGTACCTATGAAGTACTTGAAATGACCCTAAAATATCTATAAAGTACTTTAAATTATGACAAAGTAGCACATTCGGCACGATTTGATTCTATAGATCGTCGATGTGACTCAATGCTGGTTCGTATCCCTGCAGATGTGTTTAAAACTTTTTGATGTCACCGTTAGACACCCCTCAGTTTACGATCTATCGCCTACAAAAATCAGCTTCTAAAATCCATATGTCGAATTTTAACAATTTTTCTTGTCGAAATTAACCGTGTGTTGGGGTTAAAACTATATGCACATTGATATTTCTCCTGCCTGATTCTATTTCCATTGTTGCATAGGTTCTTTTTGACCTACACCATTCACTAGAAAAAAGAATGCGCTACATGATGAGGTACTTTTCATCGAAAACACACTTCGGAAAAGGACTGAGTTTTAACAGGTGCGCATAAGCTATGCAGATCTTTAGTAAATCCTGTTTTTCTGCACCAAAATAAGATCGAAATTAACTTTCAAATATATCACTGAAAAGAGCATTTAAAACGGTACAAGATAGACTATTCGATTAGTTTTTAAAAAGGATATGTTACATTGAAGGCGATTAAATTCCATAGATTAATTAGGTTGGGACCCGCCGGTGGATCCCATCGTGCCAAATATGGTAGGTTAGAGAATCTCTCAAATATCTAAAATACATGGAAAAAGATTGCATCGAGCTTAATAAAATATGGCAAAAGCTTTATTCACCCATGGAAAGACGGGTGGCGCATTCGCATTACAAGGGAAAGTAATGAAGATTCATTGCTTCCTCAAGTTGTTCATGCTTCTTTGACAAAGTAGAGTAAAAGTACATAACTCAACATAAATTCTAACAGCTTTAAGCTTTAAATAGAAAGATTAATCGATTTGTCTTTGTCTTATGAACCTTTTATTGCGATCTTTCAGTTTCGTAATTAAATGATGCTATTATTTGTAAAACTACATATAGTATAATAGTAATTTTTCTGAGATAGCTCCGAAAAAAGTGTCAGAATATTTTGTATTATGCATGTCACACCGCATTTCATGCATATTCATTTTTCTATATTTTCCAAACTTCTGATTCTGATGGTCATCTAACTAAAATTTCTGTTAGTGTGCTCCGATTCGTAGTTGTCAAAACAAGAGTCTATTCATAAAGAAGGAAAAATAACTTCAACAGTTAACATTAACAGTTCAATAGACTATCTGGANTGTTTGTTTGGGGGTATACGTGTTACAAGATAACCTATGCATGATTTTCGGGTGTGAGTGTGGGTCTAGATATGTTTTCATCATCGACACCCATTCGTCCACAGGCAGCCGCACTCCACATCCCACACCCACACCCCACACCCCACACCCACACCCACACCCACACCCCACACCCCACACCCACACCCACACCCACACCCTTCTTGCTTTCGCAATTTAGTACTCCTAGGATTGGTTTATGATCACTGGTAGTGCTATCTACACAAGCTTGAATCGTAAGCGGGATACCATATGTGAATGCATAGTCAATGACCCGGTCAGATGGCAGGGAGGTGGGCGAGCTGGGCATAATCGGAACAAGTGTTAGTGTCCCAAATCAATCCAATAAGCTTTTAACAGATCTCTCATCTGCCTTACTCTCTAAATCAATGTTTAAATCACCAAATAGACAACATTCGTCTGTGATATGACGTGAAAGTAGGTTCCATTCCCAGGTTTGGATATTTGGGGCATAGATACCGATTATACGTATTGTTCTTTTGAGTTTAATTTCAACAACACATACATTAGGAATGTCGGAGTTTATGTGAACTACTGGTATACTCGGTCTAAACAACATCAGAATGCCTCCCCAGGAATTTTCACCTTTTCGGTAAAAATACTTATAATTAACGAAAATCTGTTTTATTTGTGAATGCTTAATTGCTCCTATTGCAGTTATGATAATGCAATCTACTTGGTATTCCTCAGCTAGTAATAAGACTTCTTCCCACATTTCTTCTCGATCTCGTGCATTGAAAAGAAGAACCTGAAATTGAAGGGACAGTGAGTCGGTACAAACATTACTGAAAGTTTTCCAATACAAAAGACAAGAAGAGAGAGTAAGTAGAGAAAACCACTCGTTAACAATATCAGATAATAAACTACAGTAAAAATCAGAAAGGTATTGGGAGAACATGGAAGTGCATATTCAACATTGAAGCTTTTCTTTTTCACTGAGGTCGGGGTAGATACTTCAACGAGAGGGGACAGTTTGTAGGAAGTTACTATTGGAGTTATTGATTGGAGAATGGTTGGTGTGGTTTGTTGCTGATGGAACCAACGGAGCGATGTTAATTGTTCGGATTAAAATCGTTGCTGAGTTTTGATTTGGTTTCTTCATCTTGTAAGTATTTATTTGTCCATATCGAGAGATCATTTGGTAGTTTAGCATATAGTGCTGCTAGCGAAGGACAAAGTAAGGTTTTGTCGTTCGATACATTCTATTTAACTAAGACCGGGATCACTTCTACCATTACTTGACATAATGGAGAGATGAATTGACTAGCGAAATCACGTTAACATGCACCGTCGATTTGTTGTAACTGTACATCACGATTATGATTCATAATTATTTGTTGTGTACGGGTAAATTGATCAGCATAGTTGTTATTTAAATCTAATAGACGATTGAAATTCATTTCTTAATTGTTCAACTTGTAGTATAGTTCATCAATTCGTTTACTTGAATTGTTTGATAAATTACTATTTTATAATGTTTGTTGTTGTAATTCACATTTAATGATGAAGAATCTTGATCATTATAGTGGAATTTTGTTTGATTTTTTTGTTGATGATTCGTCGTATTTGTCTGAGCTAAAAGAGATTTGCGAGTGCGACTCTGTATGTTTTAACATCAGGGCAACTTACATCGTTGGAATCATGTGAACCTTTACATCTAATACAGCATTGTTTTTTATCATATTTTTCTTTATGCCGATTTAGATCATTACTATTAAATCCGCATGTATTACAATATTCTAAAGTACTTTTACAGGTACTTCTAAAATGTCCAATCTGGTAGCATTTGCCACATATCAACACCTTGGCTGGTGCCAAATATTCCATCACTCTAAGTCTTAAATTATCAATATAAAGAAATTTCTTATCAAATAATTCATCAATGACATTTACATTGTTAATATCAAGTCGAACTAATGCGGTAGGTTGTTGACTCTTATTAAAAATTCGATGAGCATTCATTACATCAGTATAAGTATTTTTAATGTTTGTTAATAATGTATCAGTTTCAATATCAAATGGAACATGCTTGAGAACTAACGAAAATTGAGGTGATAAATGATTAGGTAGAGTTTTTTCATAATTGAGTGATTCAATGGTCAACGGCCACTTTGCTGCATCGTAGAGCATTGATAACGATTCACGATCATTAACAAATAATAATAAATCACGTTTATGTTTTAATCGATGACCAGCGAAATGTAAATTAAAATTATAATTGTAAGAATAATGAGTTACTATATACTTTATTACTGAACTTCCATTAATATCTTGTTGGAATTTAATGATGAATGGTGGAAAGGCGTAACGTGTTTCAGCGTACTGTTGTGCCTGGTGTGATATTTCAATACCAAATGTGTTAATACTTGAAACAGGTGCGATAACTTCACGCGGATTTGGTTGTAAATAAACAGCAACAGCACTTCTCGGTTGAACATGAGTAATAATACTGTTGGTGTTTGTTGAAAAAGCGGATCTATTCGTGGAAATTGTTGGTGATGAAGAACACGATGAAGATGTTTGATTTTGTGTAAGATCAATTTTTTTTCTTTTTCTTTTTTTCGTTTGACTAATGTAAAACCATTGTCATTTTCACTTTCTATTGGTGTAACATTTTGATTTTGATTATCTTGGCATTGTTGATGATTCAATTGAAGATGATTCATATTACTTGTTGAATTATAAAGATTATTAAATGTCGCTGCACGTTGATGATATGGACGAAGGTTCAATGGTATTGATTGATGATGGCAGTTGGTGATATAACATGGATGGTTGAACATTGGACATTGAGTGGTGGAGTTGTTGATATTCGATGAACTAGACTGATTTATAATAACACCATTAGTACTGGGAATAGGAATACAATGTGATAATAATAGTGATCGGTTGATACAAGTGTCTGAATATGTAATTGATGAACTAGCTGAACCTTGATCTTGAACAGTTCGGTTGTTGATGATGTGTTGTTGAGGTGTCGGATGATTGACAGATTGGGATAAACCTACATTGAGCATGCTGTCTAGCATGCCGGCAAGGCAGTGTAAGATTTTAAATTAAATAACAAAATGTACTAAAGGTGATCGATGAATCACATGATAAGAGAAAAATATGTATATATGTATATGATAGATACGAGAGGACAGAGAACGCGTCTTATCAGTAGATGTATAGCACGAAGAATGATTTATAAGGAATTTTGCTCGTGACTGTGTGAAGCAAGACCGTCTCTTTCTCTTTATATATTGCATAGTTGTGCTCATTCTTTCTTACATCGTAAGAGTAACGATAGAATAGATTTCGTGTTTCGCACATTCACATGAAAAATTGCTTATTACAACTCAACAAGAAATGCCATCAACACAATCTAAAAAGACTTTAGATGACGCTGAAAAAGCAGTTCAAGCTAAACAAAATTTTTCTGAACCGTTTAATCAACAATCAAATCAAATACATCCTAGCCGATTTCCATCTCCAATTAAGCGTATAGTAATTCTTCTAACTGGTTCATTCAATCCAGTCACTATAGGTCATTTACGTATGCTTGAATTAGCTCGTGATTATTATCAGCTTCAATCTATTCAAGTTCTTAAAGGAATAATATCTCCGGTTAGTGATGCTTATCCTAAACCAGGTCTTGCTAAAGCAGAGTATCGTATTGAAATGGTTCAAGCAGCTGTAGCAAATAATGAATGGCTTCGAGTTGATTCTTGGGAAGCTAATCAAGAATCTTGAACACGAACCAATATAGTACTTGATCATCATTATGAAGATATAAAAAAGCAATACGGTGAAAATACTGAACTGTGTTTATTGGCAGGTGCTGATGTTGTACGTTCAATGTTAGATCCAAAAACTTGGAAGCCACAAGATATTGATGATATAATGATAAAATATGGTGTTACTTGTATAACTCGTTTAAGTGCTCCAGAATCTGGTCAAGATAATGCAACTGTACTTGATGTTACAGAAGGCATGCCTAATCTTTGGAAAAAACATATTGATATTATTCAAGATTGGGTTGTTAATAATATATCATCGACAAATATACGAAAAAGATTAGAAAAAGGTTTAAGTATTAAATATATTGTACCTGATGCTACAATCGCGATCATTCGCCAACGTGGTCTCTATGGTTCAGACCAATCTGTATGTTTAGCTGATTGGTCATATGAAAAAAAATAATATATTTTGTTTGTTTGTATATTCTCTCCATGTATGAAATTTGAACAGTATTTGTCTGTTTTTTTTTATTTGAACAATCTTGAACTTTGATGAATAAACGAGATAAGAAATATGCGATAAAAAATAAAATAACAAACTCTGATCAAATACATATTATGATAACGAAAATGTGAGAATTGATAGCAACATCAACCAGCAAGAGCAACATTCTTAAAAGTGAAAAGAAAATGATTTTGACTCGATGAGACTTGGATAGGAGGTACAATTGCTGGATGAATGACATTATATCGGATACTAATGAGGGTGTGGGTGTGGGTGCCAGCTCAGATCAATTACAAACACCCACACCCACATTCACACAGCGACACCCGCACCCCAAAAATCACATAACCATATCGAAAGCACCACTGAACAAACGAAGATATTGAAGATGAGCACATAATAATAATGCTATATTATGAGATAAGCTGTATAACAACAACTCCTATTGTTGTTTTATTATTTTTTTTCTTTCGAAGCTGTTATTATTCTTTGGATCGTTTCTTTCATCTGTTCTGTCGTAGTTGCTTCTGTTCTTTCTAGTCACTAAACTTAAGATTAAATTCGAGTTCTCATTTCTCATGTGCGCTTAAGTACGAGATAACATCATCTCTGTCTCGTCAAATATTTGAGGGAACGTATGCAGCTTATATCAACACATTGTTTTCAAAGTTCTGTAAGTGAGTTTTTGCAATAATCAGCATTTTTTTTGCATCTCAAAAAGGTATAGTCAACATGCTGTATGCAGAACAAATACTGATTTTTATAAAGAGTTTGATAACAAATAATAGAAAAAGAGAAACGAACATTCTCACAACGAGTAACACATACTTTTATCATTTCTTACTCCCCTTATTTAGCATCTGAGTCGGACCAAACAAGTATGAGACATATTTTTGAAGCGATTCCCAATATCGTACCAAATAAATTACTTTGTTTCGTCTGCTCTAGAACATTTGTTTGATGACAGGTGAAATTACTTGAAGCTGGCCAAATCATTTAAAGATGAATATGAATAAACTAGTTGTTCTTCAAGTTCCTTCGAAAGAAACTTGTCTTCTAGTGCTGGATTTGGAAACCGTTTGGGAAAAAGATACTAAAGACAAGGAAGACAAATCTTGCCATCATATCATCGAATTTGCTGTTGATAACTTGTCTGAAAGTTTCTCTTTTAGTTCTACTGTTAAGCTTTCATCCATAGGTTTCTTAGAGGGTTTTCGTGACCAAAACTGGCCGTCACTTCGTAAAGAGATGGAGCGACACAGCACTCCAAATTTTATACAGATTTGGAAATAGTTTTGTGATGAAGTTGCTGAAATGTTTCCAAAGCATCACATAATTTTGGTCTCACACAATGGCTTTCAACATGATTTTGTCATCATACAGAAAGTGTTACAATTTCTTTCTGCAATCGACAGTATTCCTTCAGACTGGATGATTATAGACAGCCTCGAATTATTTAGGATTCATTATCCGAAGCAAGTTTCATACAAATTGCAGTCACTATTTAAAGTAATCATTGGAGAAGTAATGGAAAATAAAGATTGCGCTTCGAGTGACGCTAAACATCTATGCATTCTGTTAACGTTTCTGTTGGATAAAATCGCAGTAGATTACAATCACTTTGCTGAGGTTATTAAGAAAGATTCACGCTGTTTCTTCCGCAATCAATCTATTTATATGCCCACTACTGTCATTGAAGATTATTATGGTTGTTCCAATTACAAAACCTATGGGTACAGTTGGACAGAATCCATTTGGAGATGAGTTAAAGTACTGTTCGATGCTGTGTCTGATAATCCCCAAACTTTCTCGAAATTCTCTATTAGATATGTGTAATGATTCAAAGAACATCTGCATCGTACACCCATATACAATCACACCCACACCCTCTCGATTGACAGCCTCGAATTATTTAGGATTCATTATCCGAAGCAAGTTTCATACAAATTGCAGTCACTATTTAAAGTAATCATTGGAGAAGTAATGGAAAATAAAGATTGCGCTTCGAGTGACGCTA